TAACCTTGCTAGCCACGGGGGCTCCTTGGAGCGAGCAGCGCGAGGGCACGTCCTTCGACGAGTTCATGCGGGACACGTTTGGAGCATCGATCGATGGTGGCGGTCCGTCGCAAAGCCAAGATTTGGAATTTAGCTGCGCGCATCCGTCTCGGAACGGGTCGAATAGCTTGCTGAAAGGTCCCGCCGCATGCCGGTTTCCAGATGCGCGAGAGACTCCGCGCGTCATTCTTGCAGTGCGTGGCGCATGGTTACCGTCTGGCGAGGCTGACGTCATCCACAGTACGTTGCCCGGCAAGTCACCCTGAGGGTCTCCCGGGCTGAATCACTACACGCGCGATTATGCAACATAAAAAACTACATGCTGACACACCACTATGTATATCATTACATACGATATCAAGTGTTGAATATGCGTGGAAACATCTATGCGTGTCGAATATACACTGCGCATGTTGGTTATATACAGACGTGTCGATTATTCCCCCCCCCCCTCCCTCCCTCTGTGGCCGTTTGTGTTCGATTGCCTCCACTGTCGTGGGTGGGCCTCCACTGTCGTGGGCGCGATGCCTCCACTGTCGTGGGTGGGCGACGGCGGCGTGTTCGACCAGCTCATGAAGCACGGCCAGCAGCAGAAGCAGCAGCAGCAGCAGCAGAACCAGCAGCAGCAGCAGCAGAAGCAGCAGCACCAGGAGGCGCTCAGCTGTGCGTCCACCGCGGCGCCGACTCCGATCGGCGCCGCGGAGGTCGAGACCGTGCCGTACGTGGAGCCCCTGCAGCAGGGGCACACGTACGCCACGGGCGTCCAGCTCAGCACCGACTGCTGGCGCAGCCTCATGGAGGCAGGGTCGAGGGAGTGGATCGATCGATCCATCGATCAGCTCTCTCGATGAATAAGTTTATTTTTGTTGATCTAATCTATATGTGTGTGTGTGTTCGATACAAGTATGTTTGTATTTAGATATCAACAAAAATACATTGATTCATCGAGAGCGTCGATCGATCGATCGATCGACTCACTCCCTCGGCACCCTCCCCAGGCAGCTCGGCTGCGCGGGCAAGCAGCCGACATGGCGCAGGTTGTGGACGGGAATAGAAAGGGTAGGGAAGAGTATAGGGAGGAGGAGGAGGAGGAGGAGGAGGAGGAGGAGGAGGAGGAGGAGGAGCGTCATCGATGCTGCAATACACCCTCGATGGGACACATACGGTGGCACGGGATATCCCGTGCCACCGCATGTTTCCATGTGCTGCCCAGGTGCTGGCTGCTGCTGGCGTCTCGGCGGCGGACCTCCAGGACACGGCCGCTCGCCTCGCCCTCCTCGTTCGCCTCCTCCTCGTCCTAATCCCTCCCCCCCATTCTCCTTCTCGAGATCCTCGTCCTCCTCCTCTCCCTCGTCCTCCCTCCCTCCCTCCCTCACTCGCTCCCTCCTTTCCCTCCCTCCCCCTTTCCTCCTGCTCCGCGTCATCCTCTGATCTTTGCGTGTGCGCATCCTACTCACCCACGTCCTCCTCGTCCGTCTCAGTTTCCTCATCCTACTCCTCGTGCCCGATCATGCCATCAGTCCCCAGCGTTGAAATTCCAGTGAAATCCGTTGAACTTCGTTGAAATACGCGTATCCCCACCAGCCCATACGCTTCGCGTATCCCCACCAGCCCATCCATACGCTTCGCGTATCCCCACCAGCCCATCCAGCAACGATGCCCAGGCGAGTGAGGTGATCAGGGAAGTACGGGAGCAAAGAGGTGGGCTGCCGAACAGTGCGAAACAGGGAGGATGTTGACACGGGGGAGGCTGGAGGAATGAATGAGGGAGTGGGGAGGAAGAGTCTGAATCTGATGAGGAGGAAGAGCAGGAGGATGAGGAAGAGAAGAAGTAGAATGATTGCCACCAGCTCTCTGGGCGTAGGTGTTTTAGGGGACGTCCGCTTCCAAGCCCCATTCTTCCCTTTCGGAGAAATGTTTACCTCTCCCCTCTCACCCCTCTCCTGGACATGAACGGTGTGGGGGCAGGAAGTTTTTTTCCAGCGTTGGCCTCATTTTGGCCTCTTAACAAGATGGCCCCAACAGGCACACATGAGGTCCCAAGAGGCCACACGATGGTCCCAAGATAGCCCCATGAGGCCCCGAGGAGGCTTCCAAGAGGACCCCAAGCGCCCCCCCCCCACACCCCCCCAATGCACCCAAGACGCCCAAGAGCCCTCCAGGATCGCAGCGAGACCCACAAGACGTCCCAAGCGGCCACCAAGCGCCCAAGAGATACAATCACTCAAATAATAATAAAGAACAACAGCATGATCAATAGCCATTTTGGCTAGGAGGCGCGACGAGCGCCAGCTGAGCGCTCGCGCGGGCCACTGCCGGAGGCATGGCCGACGGAGCGGCATCAGACGTCTCGGCCGATTCGCCACATGCATGCGTGGACGTGAGCCTCATGAAGGAGCACCTCGCGCCGTTCGTGACGACGGCCGAGTTCGTCATCTACCCGACGAAGAAGGGCAGATCAGGCCCAGACAAGGACAGGATGGCCGCCCACATCGACATCGTCTACTGCATCAGGAAGAATGTCGCGCCCAACATGTGGTTGGGCAAGAAATCCCTGGAGAATGCGCTCTACTTGATAGGGAACGACAAGAACTGGCCAGGCGTCCAAGGCGCAGTGCTGACGAGCTGGTCCATCGAGATGAGCGAGAGAATTCGCGCGATGCTCAAGCATGCGAGCACGACGTTCACTAGAAAGGTCTGGCCACAGTGGTTCAGCGAGCCGCTCGAGAAGATTGGCGTCAAGCAATCAGACCCCATGTTCGCGAGCGTGAAGTACGCGTACAAATACGACGAGATCACACACCAGGCCCCGATCCGCATCCCGATGATCAACAACAGGAAGTCGGGGCCTGCAGAGAAATGTTCAAGAACCGACGGCCCCGACGAGAACGGCAAGCACACGGCCTACTGGGAGAACGACGACGACTGCGATGACAAGTGGGTGTTCGAGAAGGTGTTCACCGGCGTAGACAAATGTCGGGCCCACTCGTCCAGATTGAACGATTGGACAGACACCCCCGACGGTCTGAAAGTCAAGGCCTTCATCATGGCCGACCGCGGCCCAGACAAGCTGATCAGGGTCCATCGCACAGTGAAGGGGGGCAAGGGCAAAGAGCAGATGACGAACATCAGCTGCGGCTACTTCGAGTCAGAGAAGGCAGCGCTCGAAGCCGTGCACAAGCACATCATCGAGAAGTTCAAGGATGGCACGATCAAGACGAAGGCCGATGCGAACAAGTGCAGGATCGAGCTGCAGAACGAGCTGAAGAAGCACGTCGTTCGCAAGCGGCCTGCAGGCATAGACGGACTAGAATCGCACTCCCACCCCGCTCTCCTCTCCGAGGAGGGCGGGATGCAGAGGAGGGCAGATGGCTGGGAGGAGAGCAGTGAGGAGGAGGATCGAGGAGGAGGAGGAGGAGGAGGAGGAGGAGGGTGAGGAAATAATGGTGAGGATGAGAGAGGTTCACATATAGGCTCTGACATGGTAGATAGGATGAGGGAGAGGGGGAAAGGAATGATGAGACGGAGGATGAGGAGGATTGATGAAGCTTCACCCCCAGGCATGCACAACAAGGACGACGCCGAGATCGTCGAGCAGGTCGATGGCGAGAACCATGACAGCGATGACGAGGACAAGGATGCGAACGCAGACGCTGCAGATGCCGCGTCCTCCGACGAGGAAGACGATCTCGAGGCCGTCGACGACGAGACCGACGCACCGCTGAAGAAGAAGAAGCGCAGCACCGTGATGAAGAAGCCAGCTGCTGCGTGCCACCAGATCAAGCGCAAGCGTTCCACGCACGAGGTGCCAGTCGACTCACAGCTGATGAAGAAGCCAGCGGCAACTCCGACCAAGCAGGAGCTGGCGGCGGCGCAGAAGGTGACACCAGTGGCAGCAGACAAGACCAGCACGGATGCAGCTGGGAGCCAATCCCCCGACATGAAGACCCCGAGCAAGAAGGACTCGATCAGCAAGACAATGATCACAGACCACGTGGGCAAGCCAGACACGAAGGCGGACGGCGAGATGGCCAACACCACGAGCGACATGGACGGCCCAGCTGCGTCCATGATGGAGGCCGCGCTCGCGCATCTCATGGACGACCCATGAGGTTTCAAGACCGCCTGGGGGCGGCAGAACCAACAATAATGAGCATCCTCATCATCGACATCGTCATCGTCATCATCATCAGCATCATCATCATCAATATCATCATCAGCATCAGCATCATCATCATCATCATCATCATCATCATCATCATCATCAGCAGCAGCAGCATCACCAGCATCATCATCATCATCGTCAGCAGCAGCAGCATCTCATCACTCGCCTCCGCATATCTCATCATCCTTCCCCTCCTGATCCTCACCCTGGCCCTCCTCTGTCACCCAGAACGGCTGAACGCTGGCATCGCGCACGCATGACAAACGCACGCATTGAACAAGCATTAAAAACAGCGAATTCGGTTGCATCCCGTTGAACATCAGTGCATCTCAGGTTCGTTGGTAACGCAAGAAACACTGGCATCGCGGCATCAGCAATGCCGATAGGCATCGAAACATCAGCACCATGCACCAACACCTAACATGCGACGCAGATCGCGCACCCACGCATCCCCCCCTCCCCCGACCACACACACACACACACACTGCACACGCTCACGCACACACACGCACACACACACACACACATACACATGCGCGCGCACACACGCACACACGCACACACGCACGAACGCACGCACGCACGCACGCACACACACACACACGGCACACGCACACACCACACACACACACACACATCACACACACGCACACACACACACACACACACGCGCGCACGCACGCACGCACGCACGCACGCACGCACTTACAGCTGACTGCCCTGAGGACGAGTCCCCCGTGGGCGAGCGTTCTAAGGGGGATGTGGGGGACCTCATGCGGGTTCAAGCCGAACGGCGATGCCCTCGCCAGTGGTTATCCGAGGGGACCCCAGGGAGTTCATGTTCATCCTGATGCCAATTTTGGTCACAATCACCCTCCTCCTCCTCGCCCTGCCCCTCGTCGGACATCGTTGCCCCCTCCTGATCGCCGCCAGGACGGCTCCGAGACCAAGGGCGTCGACCAGGGCGCTGACGACGGCACTGGCGGCTCCAAAGGCCAGATCAGCGGCGATGGCGCGGCCTCCAGCGGAGACGACATCAACAACCCACGCCGCACTGACACCGTGGTTGAGATCACCGACAGCGACGATTCCCGTGACAAGGGCGTCGACGCCAATGCCGTGAGTGGCAAGAGGAGCGCAACCGATGTGGCCATGGATGACAGCGACGAGGCGCCCCTCACCCAGACGAAGCACCAGCGTCGCAGCCCCGACGTCGCGGGAGCTGGCGACGCCAGCGCCAAGGACACGTTCGAGGACACGCGCGGCTCCAACGACAAGGGCGGCGACACCGAGATCGGCAAGGGCAACAGCGACCACGGCACAGACATCGGCAACATCAAGCACGACGCCGCCGCGGGCGGCCACATGACAGTCGAGGGGACGGGCTCGTCGCCGTGGCCTCACGACCGCCAGCCAGACAGCTGGGCATTCAACGCCTCTATCACCGTACTCGTCCCCCTTGCGAGGGGGACGAGGGTCCGCGTGCCATCTAGTTTTCACACGCGCGCGCGCACGTGCGCGCGCACGCGCACTCACGAACACGCATGCCCGTGCACACGCACGCACGGACGAACGCACGCACGCACGCACTCACCCACCCACACACACGCACACACACTCGCACACACAACGCGCGCACACACACACACACACACACACACACACACACACACACACGCACACACACACACACACACGCACGCGAACGTGCGCACGCGCGCGCACCGTCTGGGCCAGCTTGAAATGTCGAGGCCATCGGTTTCAATGATGTTCAAGCTGTGTTTCGTGCGTTGCATCGGTTTGGCGCGCGTGCGCTTAGCCCGAGGACGGTGCGCCGCCTGGAGCACCTCCACCACTTCATGCGCCCGCCCCGCACCTCGGCTCCATCGGCTTGCAGGCGGCGCCGCTCGGTGAGATCGGCTTGCAGGCGGCGCGGCTCGGTGAGATCGGCTTGCAGGCTGCGCCGCTGGCGGAGATCGGCCTGCAAGCTGCGCCGCTGGCGGAGATCGGCATCCAACAGCTGGGGTGGCAGGCCGCGTCGTCGCGGGACGAGGTCGCCAACTTGGCTCAGCTCCCGAATGACCCCATGCGCACCAATGAACCAGCGAGCTTGTCCCAGCTGATCTCCAAGCTGGCTGACATATACAATCAGGCGCAAGGCAACACGAAGTTGACGGCCGTCCAGAATGCATACTTCAACCAGCAGGCGGAGGACGACGACAAGACGAAAGACCGATTCCTGGAAGAAGCCCATGCAACGGGCGTCGTACCGTCGAGGGGCGCATTGGGCAACCGCTTCCAGACCTTCTTGGATGCGAACCCAGATGAGAGAAAGAAATACGAGACCACCAAAGGGAACATCGCGAAGGCAGACTTCCGCAAGAGGTGGTTCGACGAGGAGTGGGTAAAGTACAAGAAGAGGCGCACGGTGGTGGAGAATATGGCGGAGAGCTGGGCTGACTTCGGCACCTACGAGCCGTTCGAGGTCATTGCAGGCAAGGAGTCTGGGACAGGGATCACGTCATCGGGAGCGGAGGCCGCGCTCAACATCTGCCTCAGTTGCATCAAATTGGGCGGATATTGGAACAAGTACAACTGGCAGAGCAAACGCATGGAGCACTTGTACATGAAGTCGGGGTACAAATACAAGTTCGAGAAGCAATGCAGCGAGATCACTGAGATGATGGAAACGAACGCCGCAATTCCAACCGTTCCAACGGCCCAACCGACCCCAGCTGCTCCAATGACAATCGCGGGAGGCGGAACGGCTTCAGCGGCTCCAGCAGTTCTGGAAGGAAGAGACAACGTGGTAGACCCGACGAAGAAGCGCAACATCGAGAATGTGACACCACCGCAGCCGACACCAAGGGCGAAGAAAATGCCGAGAGGAAAAGCTAAGGCTAAGGCGGGCACCGCGCAGACGGGTGACGTCGACGGGAAGACTACCGACGCCGAGCAGGAGAAGGAGAGGATCAAGCAGCTCAAGAAGACGCAGAAAGCAAACATGGAATGCGCGCAGACGTCCATCTCGGAGTACGGACAGACCGTGACCCAAGCAAACCTCATCCTGGACAACATCAAGTCGCTGCCCGAATGGAAGTGGGCCAACAACTCCGAGGGCGTCTCGGGCCTGCAGGAGAGCCTGAACGCGCTGGTCTCGGCCGCCATGGGGAGCCAATTCATCAAAGAGATTTTGATCACTGACATCGCAAAAGTGAAGAGCCAGATGGCAGAGGAGACCTTCGACGACAAGATCGCGTCCGTGACCCCTGCCCTGGAGTCGCCGCTGAAGAAGCTCAAGGCCGAGATCACCTGCCTGCAGAACATGCGCAGGGAGAAGCAGAGGCTGGCCAACATCTAGACGACGCGATGCATGCGCTGCTCGGTGGCGTGCAACGCCAAGCTCATTTAGTAGCATAGGTATGTATACAGGCACGTGTTCAGCTTTCGTTTGAACACATGGGGGAGCCGACATGTGGCAGTGGATACAGGTTCATGCAAGAAATTGCGGTACCTCGGCCTCTCCCATGTGACGCGCTGTTTCGGGTTCACGTGGTGGCTCACGGAACTCGGTGCGATTAAGACGTTCGCACACCGCAGTCCTCTCGGCGCGCGTGACACGAGAGGTGCCGCACAGTTTGCCAGCAAGATCGCAGCGTGAGAGAATGCTCCCCGTCGTGCTCCCATCACAGTCCGCCTCGCCCATGTGTGCCGTACAGGTCCAGCAATGAGCGAGGTGTTAACACGTCCAACGAGAGCAACACACACACACACACACACACACACACACACACACACACACGCACACACACACGCACACGCACACGCACACGCACACGCACACACCAAACGCATGGACACACATGATCAAACAAGCAAACTACTAAACACACAACACAGAACGAGCAAACACACGCCATCAAACACAAAAACACGTACACACCTCGAAAATCACAACACCTAACGAGCAATCACACGCCGTCAGCACAAAAAACACACGCACAACCATAATATTTGCAAGGATTGATGCCCAAATACCGAGTTGAAAAATCAGTGAAATATCGTTGAAATCTGTTGAAATTTGTTGAAACCCACACAAAACACTATATATATGCAAAAAACACGCATGAAAAATCAGTGAAAAATCAGTGAAATCTGTTGAAATTTGTTGAAATCTTGACATGCGAGAACTGTACAAACATTCCGGGAGGCAATGGAAAAAAAACACCACCAACATCAAAATACCAACGGCAACTCGCACAATTTACAACTCGTAACCTCTAACTCCTCTCCTCATCCAACTCGCGCTGGTTTCACCCCCTCCAGACGCACTCGTATCCGGACCCACTGGTTCTCAGGCTCACTCGCAGACTCACTCACGTGGACTCATGAACAGTCAGACACACTAACATTCAGACTCAATCATCCTCAACCTCAGCCTAGCTCGGAGGGCTGAACGGAGTGTGCGTTGGGCGTGCTGAAATCGCTTGTGGCCCTGATTCCAGCGTTCCTTTCGCGCGCCTGGCGCGCGCCCCTCCCGCCTGCAGGCCAACAGGGGTAACTCGGAAAGAGGGGGCGCCCCTGCCTCGCATCTGCCCTCCGCCTCCACCCCCTCCGCCCCGTCATCTCCCTCAACATTCCCCTCCCCGATCGGGTCCTCTCCGTATCTAGCCATTTTGGCTCCCGAGCGCTAGCTGCACATGTTTCCGTGGCTTCAACCCCCAAGCCCGTGGGATGATGCCTCTCAGGCGCGTGCCAGGCAAATGCATGCCGCGAGCTCGGCCCTCTACAAGTATCTGTTGGAGATGTACGCTGGATCCCGACCCATGACGGCGAAGGACGTGTGCTCGATTGCCTTCTTCTGCAAACAAGCTGGGATGGAGGGTCAGACCGCCTCGCTCGCTCTCAACCCCGATCGTAACAATGGTGGTAATTTTCAGAAACATCTCGACCGAGTTATTCCAAGGAAGCCTGAGTCTACCTACTACTGGATCGAAGTTCCGACCGCTGGGCGTGGTGGGCGGACGATCAAAGAAATACCGATTCTACCAGCTCATGAGGCCATCCAGTTAGAAGTGGACACGACTGAATCATTGTCTGTGGAATCGATGCAGTCTGACGCACGTGTCCAAGATATGTATGACCTTTACTCTTGGCACCCAGGGCTTCAACACATCGGCAGAGAGAACTGCCCGTTGCTACTGTGCTTGTATGTGGACGGGATCAGATATACGCGCTCAGAGCGAGTCGGAAAAACAGATACAGTAACAGCGTTCTTCATGTATAATGTCTGGACGCGCCGCAGGCACACTCTGGCAATCCTGAAAAAAACAGAACAATGCAAGTGTGGCTGCCGTGGATGGTGCACGGTGTACCAAGTCATGTTGGTAATCAAATGGTCGTTGGTGGCACTGATCCACGGCCACAAGCCGCACCGTAGGCATGACCACAGCCAATGGCCAACACACGATCCTAGAGCAACAACAGCGGGTGATGCCATACGGAAAGGGCTGGTTGTGTGGATAAAGGGCGACCTGATCGAACAATCGACCACATTCGGCCTCCGCGGCCTCGGGAGTGGGTGGAGGCCGTGCATGATGTGTAGGACGTTCGCCGACACCATGCACGACTACACCGACGTCACGTTGTATGATGACGTGTGGGGTATGCCAGACGACCTGGACGACTACGAGGCTGACTGCCAATCGTGCGAAGTGCAGGTGCTCATATCGACCGAGGCGGATCGCATACAGGCGATGCTGCGCTGTCCGTGCTGTATATAAACGCCATGGATGGAAGGGCCCAGGTGCCTGGGAACCGACTGGATGGGCGCGGGGAGGGGTGTGAGCCAGATAGGTATACATGTCCCCACGCCCCTCCCCACCCATCCCCAGCCAGTTCTTAGGCGCCGCGTACGCGACTGTTACACACATGTAATTGTCACAAAGATTTGTGTATATATATATGCATGTATATGCACATACCTGTATAGAAATTCCGTACAGGTACACACATATGCAAACACACATGCGCACACACGCACACACGCACACACCAGCACCCACTCTCTCCCTCTCCCACACACACACACGCACTTACACATCTACATCAGCAGCATCAGCGACACCACCGCACGATGTCCGGGCACGCGCAACTAAGCATCGGCCCGCTGACAGGTGATACGTGAGGGGATGATGTTCTGGGACAAGCGCAAAGCCCACGTCCGCGGGAGAGTGTTGCTACGGGATGTCCCGAGGTTCGGCCTGCAAGCAGGCGACAGATTGGAACCGACACCACAGTTGCCAGACGTAGGAGAGTTCAGCGCCATACAGCTGCCATTTGTGGCAGTGTTCTGGCGGCCTACTTTCTTCGGTCAAGCGTGCATAGACCCTCTGAACCATAGAAACCCAATGTTCAGCCCACTTATATATGTGTCCCCCACGCTGACCTTCATGCTCGATGTGTTGCACATTTTGTACTTAGGGATCCACCAGAGAGTTATATCAGCAATACTATGGAGCGTCTTGCGATTGAACCCATGGCATATCAGCGGTGGCTTCGAAACAGTGTCGTCGTGTGGTATCGAGCGGCTCGAAGAACAATTGTTTAGCTGGTACGACGAAAATGATATTCCACAGGACTACAGGATCAAACGTCTAGAAAAAACTATGATTGGACACGAGCATATTCCTATGATGAAAACAATGGGTTCGGAAACAAACGCAATGTTGCCATGGGCGGTGTACTTGTCTGGGCTGCACGCGTATCAAATGAGACACGGCATACCGCTTCATCATGCTGCCCTTGCGCTGCATCACTACATGAAAGTTTTGAAGAGATCGCCCATGCAGATACCCCGTGAGGTGGTGCAGCAGTTGCTGGACCTGGCACTTTGCCATAATGAGTTTATGAAGCTGCCGGGCACGCCCCTGCTGTTTAAGCATCATTTTTTCATACACATGACTCGTAGGATACACAAGCACGGTAATCCATTGTACTATGCAACGTTTGAAGACGAGTCTCTGAACTTGCAAGCAGCACTAGTTTCGGCAAGCGTGCATCAGAGGAACTGGGAGGTTCGATGCTTCGAGAAGCTCGATTTGTTCGGGCACCTCGGCCGTGGCAGGGGCAGACTGTTTTTCGGCGGGGGCGCAGCGTAAGCGCCGAGCTCACGCGCAGTCGTGGGGCATGCTATCACTCTCTCTCTCTCACTCTACCACTCCCTCCTACCTATATCAAGTCTCGGGCTGAGGTGCTATCGCCCTCTCGCTCCGCATCCCTACTCGCACACCCCTCCCCCCCGCATCAGCCAGCCGTCCTTACGATCAGCTCGTCTTTTTTGACGCGCGTGCGAGGGTGCGCCCAGGCGAGGATGATCACCGAGCGGTGCTATGGAAAACATGAATTGGCATACCAACAAACGAAATACAACAGGACACCGCCGACCACGCACAACCAAACACAGCGCGACACGCGCGAGGATGTGAACCAGCAGTAGATCGAACGGGCAATCCATTTATAAAAGAAACCAGGCATCGCAAACAGTCAGCGCAGCAAACTATCATACAGCAACACACATGGTACACCATTAAGACATACATGTCAGTACGCGTTGAAACATCATTGAGTTTTCAGTGGGTACCAGTGATTTGCGTTGAACGTCGCTGCAGCTGATAGGTTGAGCGTGAACCATCGGAGGCTGTTCGTGCATTCCTCGTCCTGTCCGTCTGACAGGAGGCACGCCATCGCATGGCACAGGTTCCTCACTTCAACGTCGCCCACACCCGCCCCCTCTCCAAACGCATCGGCACCCGTCTTCTCATCCTCGCCCCCCCCCCCCGCCCCACCATCCCGCACCCCCCCCCCCGGCGAAGGTGGCATAGCGACATCCCTCTCCGATCGATGTCACACCGTCGTAGCCATGTTATGGCTGATGTATCTTTATGCGCAGTGCCCTGCCACGTGTACCCACCATGGCCCGACGAGGCAGGGATCTCCGCTGCAATGGACAGACATATGACGCTGATGAGTCTAGGCTTGCGTTGGTTGGGCAGCCTCACGCGCCAATACCTGTGTGGATTGACAAACATGCGTCGCCCAAGGGCATTCCTTGGGAATTTCGCGAGGATGTGTACGCCAACACGAATGTGCCAGTCGATGCTCCAGAGTTTGTCATGGTCGATGCGGCAATCATGCATGTGCAGCGGTACTACGCGTCCACGACACGAGTCTACATGGCGATCGAGCTGTATTCTGGTCGTGGAGATTACTCGTTCTGGCTCAGGTACGCTGGCGACAACAGAGTGCGTGAGTTCGATGTTGATACACGGCATTGGACAGAAAATCTCAGCACTACTACAG